GTAGAATAAATATTTAAGTGACAATAGAAGAAAAATGTGTAGGGTCGTGTTAGAATAAGAATCGCTGAAAAAAATTACAGGTTAAAAATTAGACATATGCGTACGAATAAAAAGAGTGCATCGCTGTAATTTTAACATTAAAATTTAATTCTTTATTAAAATTAAATCTTGTTTTAAATTACTGATTTTTTTTTTGTAACATAGGTGCTGAAGATTGCCTGTCACCTATTCAATAATGTTTAACGACTTCATTCTATTATACTTTATTTTTGTTGATTATTGTGCAGATATAAATAGAGTGACACTGTTATCAGAATTGAAAGCTCGTATATCCCATGTTATAAAATACTAAACACCCTAGGACGTTTACTATCACGTGTGATTTAATTTGGAACTTTAACTTGGACACTGACTCGACTAGTCCCATTTCGCAGAAGACATGAATAGCTTCGGATTTTACGTGGTTCTCGCGAGTGAGATTCTCTGTTTCCCAGAACAGGATTAAGTGATATCTAGGAAGAAGCCATTCCTACTTCCTGCAATTCAAGCAACTGTCTCAAAACTCCCCCAATTTGCCTATACTTTGTAACAACATACTTATTTGAACGCAATTACCTTTATTTTATTATTCATGTTTCTCTTTTAGAATTTTCACGAAGCATTATAAGTTTTTAAACACTTCAGATGTATACTGATGATATCAGTACTTCGTCAATAATTTATTCACTCGCCATTTCAGTAGCCATGAGTTGAATCAGTTAAAAACCCCAAGCATTACCTAATTGACACACTGCATTTTACCTCGAACAAGGAAAATGATGAATTGTATTCTTGTGAGGTATATTAAGTAGACATGCATGCCTATAGTTACACCTTCATGAAGCTCATAAGAATTTGCCATTTACCCGGAAAAAAAGCACGTGGTCGTTCAAAAGTTAACACTTGCAGAGGGAATTGCTGAGAAACTTCTCGTTTTACGGGGGTTGAATGAAAAGTAATGCCTCCAGCAACGCAACTTTAACTTAAGTCGGGATATTTTAACAAATGAAAGACGAAAATAATCTGTCGAACGAGCTCCTTTGTTCGGTGTATTTACTTTTCTGCATAACCGTCATTACTCGCTTACGCACCCCAATTAGCAATGGTAACTTTCTTCAAGCCGTTCTCCGTAACCAGGTCCAGACGGTTCTCTCTATGGTCTCATTTTAAAACCAGTCCAGTTTTTCATAAAATTACTAGAGATCCTTCTAAAAATACATTTTCGTGATAATATATTGAGACATGTATGTTAAACATTATTTGTTGTTAAGTAAGTGTCTCAGAACTTAATTCTTTCTCAGTGTCTCTGATAACAATTTGATCGACTGCAAAATTGCATGTATTGTGTCTTTTCAACTAACTCTATTTTCAAGGAGTGACGCAATTTCCATAGCCACTGCTTTGTAATCATAATTGCTCTTTCCATGTATTTTCAAAAGGTGACGAGATTTCCACAGTCACTGCTATATAATAAGAAATTCTTATTTCATCTGCATAGTCCGAATTGCTCTTTTTAAGTATCCTCCAGCTTTCTTAGGCTTGCACACATTTTTCTTCCAGCCAGTTCGTAAGAGAATCGCGTAGAAGTTCACAGAAAAATCCTTCCGTAGTTCAGAAGACTCAGGCAAAGGTCAAATCGCATAGTCAAATTGAGGAAAGCGTACGATCTAGTTCTAGGCCGCGGGGAGCCTTGTGACACTAGCCTAATAAGCTCTGGGGCCCATGTGACAAGCGATCGATGATGAATCCGTACAAATCATTCGCGAGTACCTATCGCAGCGTGAAAGTTCGGTGCTAGGTCAACACGCATAAAATTGTAACCAGTCTTTACGCTAGCTGAAATCCGCCCGCGTAGTTGCGAGTCCGAGCTTCCGCGAAACGCGCTGCGATTCCTCGACTTCCGGTGACGAAATCAATTTAAACGTCACCACATGCGCCTGATACGGTGCCATCGAAATTTCGAGATTTGGTTATTGTGAGGTTCAACGGTGAGCAAATCTGCACCCAAATCGCAACAATTTTCGAAGTTGAAATCATTAGTCTACGCGTTAGTGTCGATCGGGATAGTCTTCGCCATACTTGTTCACCTGTGAAATCGGTATTGAGTGTTGTTTCACTTGTGCGAGGTTTTAAAGAAGTAGTATTATAGAAGTTTGATTTTTACTATGAAATTCAAGTAAACGTGTACTTTTGTATATGAAACGTCTTTTTCCAACGATAATATTTTTGCAACGAAAACGGATGATGCAATATAATAGCACGAGTGAAATCATTTCACTGGTCTCCATCTCGGCACATGGCAAAATTAAATAAAAATAAAACAAAATTTAGAGAAACGACTAAAGAAACGTACGAACGTTTTGTCCATTTTGTGTTTTATTATTTTCATCGTTTTTTAGGTAGTGCATATACTTACTTGAACGTAAACCACGAAAACAATGTTCGTTGCAAAACGCTTATACTATAGTGGACATATTGCTTTCGTTACAGATAATATGAATCTAGAGGAGTACCGCAAGCATGGTGAGTAACAATAACAAATTATTCTGACGGTAGTGCGTAGAAAATTATATATTTCTAAATTAGTTTGTAAACGTAGGATTTACGAAGATAATGAACATCAGTGATAGTGTAAGATACTGCATTATACTTAATACGATGGTGACTTGGACATCTAATACTTGTACATTTATGACTTGTTCCTTAAGAATTTCAATACAAACAAAAAAGTTATTATATGTATAAGATAAAAAAGTAGAAATATTGTTCCTAGTCTTCTTATATTATACTATACATATAGGCTTTTATAAAGTTTCAGGAAAATTTTAATACCCTCCAATAAATGAATAAGTATATTCAATGTCCTCACTTTTAGTTCAAGAAGTAAAAATTCATAATCTTATCCAACGAAATAATTATATTTATCATGACTCTTTCTCCTCGTTGTTAATACTTATATTCTTACCGTAACTTTGCATTTTTTCTTCCTTTATTACAATTAGAACTCTGAAGATGGTAACAAATCAGATCACTGAGAACGTTCACGACAAATACATATTCGTTTTGCTTGACAAGACTGTGGATTTCTACCTTTTGAATAGGTCAATTCGTATCGTAATGCAGTGCCTTCCATTACTGAGGGCATCACTCTTGTAAACGTCTGTAAACCTTGTAATCTTGTACCCGGGGGAATACACATGCATAAAAGAAGGAGCTTAGAATGCGCCATCGGATACGTTCCTAGCCGTTAAAACGGTGCCAATAAAGGGGGATCACCGAACAGGAGTAAGTCTATGGGAACTTTATGGATTCGATACTGTTTCCAATACGGTCCACGCTAGATTCCGTCTACACAACCTAAATCTCTGAATCCTAGACAAACGGTTCCACCCTGACTTTCCTTTTTCTTCAATCCAATTTTGTCGTGGAAAATTACCCGACCATCCTGCGTTTCGAAAGTGGACACAAATTGACAGGCCTATTTGTTAAAATAATTTATTTTAGCCAAGTCTCTTATCCATTGCCTGGTTCGAAAATTGATAAAATTAATATGTACTAACTATTATTTTTTCTTTCTTTTCAAAAAGCTCAATCGCGATGAATTCTTCCAAACTCCCAGAATATGAATTCTGTTTAAAAGTTTAATCATCTATAGAGTGTCTTTTAACTGTAAATTCTAGTTAGAAATTTAAATTGATCTTCAGAACCAATAAATTGTCTACTCTTTCTCCCTAATCAAATTGGTCTGTCAGGACAAACAGAAATTATTTTCAACGTCCATCATTTATAGTTTCCACTATTGTTTAAATTCTGCTTATATAATAGAGTAAAATACCTGTAGACGTCGATGAATTTGCTCTGGAGATCCTAGAAAAATCGGTTAACGTTTAAGAAATCCTGTATTTGCAACGGAACATGCTTGACCCCTGACTCCGAGAAACGTTTAAATAACACGAATCGAATTCCATTGTTCCATTGTTGCACGCGATGTACATCAACGAACGAATTGGGAGAGAGAGACAAAAACGTTGTTCGAGACCACGACAGCATCGACGGAAGTGTTTTCCCGGTATACTTAAGGCCGAATCCCCAGAACACGGAGCACGAAAGATAATCGGTTTAAGGTTTCCTGTTGAAGTTAAATAATTGTTCTCGTCTAGGAGGGTGTCGACATGAACCTTTCGTTTCTGTTGATTCGAAATATAAATCGCCTCGTGCTCTGTTTTGTTAAGGCATACAACACTATTTATTTTCTTTTTTTGAAGATAGGTATTCCTTTAGTACATTCATATACACTGGATGCAATTTAAAATTCAGTAGTGCTATCTACATATATAGGCTGAAACATTGAATTTCTGAATGGATTCTGAGTTAATTGTGTGTAAAATAGAACACTAGTCTGTCGAAATTATTACCAAAACGTTGTCTATGATTTCTAGAAGTATCTATTTCTTTATGGATGGTTCAGTATACAGTGAAAGCAATTTAAAATTCGGTTGTGTTATCTGTATCGAATGAACCACTCAAATTTTAAATGGACTGTTAATCATTCGTTTCCAGAATATATTCTCTGTCTATTAAAATTGCTACTCAGATCAATCCTAGAGTTCTGTTTTACAATTATCGACATTAGAAGATTAGCATAATTAAGTGCAAGTATAATACAGTAAGGTGTAATACAATAAGGTGAACATTTTGATTATAGTAAGTCCGTTTCTGACCTTCCCCTACGATTGCAAAGACTCTGTTGTTAATAATATAATCGATAACACGATTTTGCATCATCAGGAAAAGAAATGGTGGACTACATTGCCGATTACCTGGCGAATATTCGATCTCGACGCGTTTATCCGGCGGTTTCCCCGGGTTACCTGAGAAACGTCCTGCCAGCATCGGCGCCAGTGGACGGCGAGCCTTGGGGTGACATATTTGCAGACATCGAAAAGTGCATCATGCCAGGAGTGACGCACTGGCAAAGTCCTCACATGCACGCTTACTTTCCCGCCTTGAATTCGCCGGCCAGCCTGTTGGCCGACATGCTGGCTGACGCGATCAATTGTCTTGGGTTCACGTGGGTAAGAATGATCTTAGCTATCGTACCTGTGGGAACTTGAAACGATATTCTATCGTAGAATTTAATTATAAAATTATATGACACGCATGCAATGTGAAACTAAAATTCGAATTACGATTGTATGTGGATGTATTATTATTTAGAGTATTGTTTACATTTCTCGATCTCTGCTTTAGATCCTTTTAAAATGCAAATCTATAATTTAGAGTTGTCATAGATATTTTTCGATGGAAATCATAGCAAATTTTATTTCGTTGAATTTTTATTTTCACAAATTTAAATGAGACTGAATTGAGTTGTGCCATTATGTGAATATACCTATAGTCTTTAAAATATTTAACATTGAGTATGTGTTCTCTATATAAATTTATTTACTATGCTTGCCTACTTGAGTCTAGTTTTTTTACCTCTAGATTATATTTTTCATAGTTCAAAACATATGTTTTAAATAATAATGATCACACTGACAACCATTTAAATTAGAAAATAGATTAAAAAGTATAACAGTACTAAAATGAGGTTTGATACGGGCTGAGTGAATTATTATTGAGTTTTGTCTAATTCGTGTGATGCTGAGCTACCTGAAACATTTTCCAATCACTTGTAGCGAAAGATTACATTAGACTGAATACTTGGAAAGAGTTTACAATTATCATTGTATTCTATGGCGAACATTTCTGGAAGATCTCTCGTCTGGATTCACCCCCTGTAGAAAGTTCGAAGGGAGTTCGGAAGTTGTACCCTTCAGAGACGACGTTTTGTCTAGTGCTGCTAATAAACACTTCCGTTGTCAAAGCACTCCAAAAGGAAGGATCCTTAATCATTTCCATAGAAAATTTAAAATCACTGTTGCAGAAGATAACACGAATGAACAATATTAATGACCCAGTATTAATTTTACTTATAGATTTTAGCCCTTTGGATAAAGAAATGCTGTAAGAAAGAACAGAGAAAATATAAATAATTAAAAATTAAACAGAATACAAATTAGCAAGGCAATCACAATTCAAACACTTGTCAACCCCTTCAGAACCCCTTGAAAACTTCAAGATAAATAAAGTTCATGAAATCAACGTTTATATTTTACTTTAATTATTTTAAATATGTCACATTGCGCATTGACACAATAAAAATAAAATTAAAGAAATGAAACCTAATCGTATATTTGATATTATTCGTTTTTGCTGACAATATCTTGTGTAACACAAAGATAATTAATGCCTGAAGGGGTTAGACTACATATCGCCCACCCTGAGTCTCTTCGCTCGTCCAACTATACTTTCCTTTGTCAAACCTTTGTATTTGGTGCGTGCACTTTAAAAGGCCTCGAGTCCAGCGTGCACAGAGCTGGAGACCATCGTAATGAACTGGTTGGGCAAAATGATCGGTCTGCCAGAAGAATTCCTGCATCGTCCAGGAGGATCGGGCGGCGGTGGCGTGATACAAACAACCGCGTCGGAGGCGACCCTCGTTTGCTTGCTCGCAGCAAGGACCCGAGCCATTAGAGACGTGCAACAAAACGAGCCAGATCGTTTACCAGCCGAGATTAATTCGCGTCTTGTCGGATACTGCTCCGACCAAGTACGTATTTCTGCTTCGAATCATTCTTTCCCCTGACGCGCTATTACTTCCCAATCTTTTTTTTTTTTTTAAACAAATCTTTCACTAAAACGTGGAGCACTCGAAGAGATTGATATCGCTTTCTGAGCACCAGCTGCGAATCTGTGACAAAGCATTAAAGTAACTTTCACAAAGTAACTTTTCTGCTTGCTTGATTCATTTATTGCTTTTTACTTAGTATTACAATATTTGGCTACCAGTCACGAAACGTCGTGATTTGTTGAGAATTTGTTAATATTTTTTATAAAATATATTTATATACCTTTTGTCCCATTTGCATGGTGTGTTCCTATTAATCTACTTTCTTTTATTGTTCTTTTCTTTAATAATGCCCAAGGGGCGTAGGAGCTCGGGTATTTCGGGTGACCAAGGACAGGTACTGTCCCCGAGAGTTAACTTCCTTGAGAACTAATTTCAATTGTTCAAACTATCGTTCAATATTGTTTCTATTGTTATCTCCTTATTCTTTTTCTCGTGGAATGAGGTAAGTTTCACGAATGTGGATGTACTGCAGGCTCATTCCAGCGTGGAGAAGGCTGGGCTAATAGGTTTGGTACGAATGAGGTACATCGAATCCGACGACGACCTTAGTATGAGAGGCGAGGGGCTACTGGAGGCTATAGTGCAGGACAGGGCTGATGGTCTGCTTCCTTTCTTTGTGAGTATTAATGTTCCAAAGTGATTTAATATTTTTTATTTATTATGTTCGAGTTAAAGATTGAAAGAGGTGCTCAATGCGTCGAAACTTTGAGTACGATAAATATAAATATAATATTGACCAAGCACTTCTTTAAAACTTTGCAGTTCAGATTTTCTGATTTCAGTACAACTCTGTTTAGTCTAACTGCAAAGGATTAATTTTCATTTTCAATGTTTATTTATAGTACATCTTACTTTTTCTGTTCTTAAATGTAGTATTAAATTAAAAAGTACTTCGTTAGGAAATGCATGTACCGTCTGTCTCTAACAATAAGTGACGTCATTAAAGCGGATAGCGATACCGCATTAAAAAAAGATTGACCTGCCAATTAACCTTGCCAGAGCTGTTAGTAGTTGCGGTAGAAAAGAGGGCGGGCATGACGTTGCAAGGCGGATTGTCTTTTCGCTAGTTGGTCCCTGAGGACACCCACTGGTAACCCATATTTCACAAAACAGTCATCCACATCCCAGAAATGTATTATTTTCAGAAACAAATAATTTCAATTCTGTCAACTGTTTAAGCAGAAGGTCTTAGGGAATTCATGATACTAATAATAATTCATAGTACTTTCGTTTTTGTTTGCGTAGGTCTGCGCTACTTTGGGTACAACTGGTGCATGTGCTTTCGACAATCTGAAGGAGGTTGGTCAAGTGTGTAAGTAAAATGTTACGTATTCCTTATTTGTATAGTTATGTAGTATCCGCGCCTCCCATACCCAACAATAAGAAGTCAAATAAGAACACGAAACGTAGGGTACGGGATTGGTCGCGTAGGTAAAGCGGGGTCAACTGTGGATCCGAGGATCGTGGGTTCGAATCCCCGTCCCTTATTTTTCGTTTAGACTCCAACAGTTATGTAATTCTTTACTTCGATTTAAAATAGAAACATATTTAAAATATATAAATTATTTACAATAGAAATACCACTAATTTAAATTCACTACATTTAATAAGTCTTTGGTCAAGATAAATACAATTTGAAGAATTTATCTACGATTGGAGGAATCATTAAAGAAATAATTAATAATTGAGGAATTTATTAACAAGATACATTCGATTTATATTCAAGTTTCCGATTAAAAAGCAAACATTTCTCCCAATTACTAGGCATGGAAAATGGACTCTGGTTGCACGTGGATGCAGCCTATGCAGGCAGTGCATTCGTCTGCCCCGAATTCCGTGGGTGGCTTCAAGGAATAGAATATGCCGATTCGATAGCATTTAATCCCAGCAAATGGCTGATGGTGCATTTCGATTGCACAGCGATGTGGTGAGTACTACGAAGAAGAATATGAATTTGGCCTGGCTGCGTCGATTATCGTCCTAATCGTTCTCAGAAAGACGCCATTGCGAAAGTATGCATGAAGGAAATTCGAAAATTCGCAAATCGTTGGAAACTCGATAAATTCGTAACCGCGATTATCATCCTTCGATCTCTTTCGTGCGACTTCTAGGTCGGACTGCGGACGCAGAATCGGTTTTTTCATTCTTCCTGCAATTTCCGTCGAGCCGCTCGAGCGACCCTACGTAATTCATAATCTTTCGAAATGATGTTTGAAATGATGTCTTTTAAAGATGATAGAGTCGGAAACCAGTGTGTTCCATAGTTCGGTCTTTGGATGTTTGAAATAAAAATATTCACGAAGCGCTTCCTACTGGAATTTATTACTTTGATTTAAAATAGAAATACCACTAATTTAAATTCATTACACTTAATGAATCTTTGGATGTAATAAATTTAATAAACCATGCAGTTCAATAAATTAAATTAGGTTTAAATTTATCAATTTAATAAGAATTATTTATTAAGATTTATCTATTACATTTAACACTTAGGAAGTCTACCAATAACCGCAGATATTTTTATTTTAAACCTTCAAGCAAAATTTAATGAATTTAATCAATTTAAATCTTGAGAAACGTCGCGAACGACTTTGAATATTTTTATCTTTAACACTCAAGCAATTCCTTAATTGGTGATGAAATAACCAAATATTTCGATTTAACGAAAATATCAGTTCGCAAAGGAAAGCTTGAAACGACACGAAATAATAACCTTGTAGGAATCTCAATTAGCAACAATTTATATCACTCTTTCAGGGTGAAAAGCAGCCAAGCTCTTCACAGAACATTTAACGTGGACCCGCTGTATCTGAAGCATGAAAATTCAGGTAACGAAGTACCGATACCTTTCCGAATAATACTTAAATAAACGCCTTGAATTCACTCGTGCGCGACACGAGATTAAACATGAGTGTCTTATTTACTTGCAGGGCTTGCTATCGATTATATGGTAACTAACCAATGAGTTCAAGAAACTTTATCGAGCTGATAATGGTGTAATTTTCTAACATATCCATATCGACGTTTCTTTTTTTTTCAGCACTGGCAAATCCCACTGTCAAAGAGATTCAGAGCCTTGAAACTGTGGTTCGTCATTAGAAATTACGGAATCACTGGCCTTCAGAAGCATATTCGAGAGGTTTCTATTGCATAATACCTTCCTAGTATTAAAAAAAGTGTATTCAAAGCCGCGTACACGCGCGACAACACAGTCTCTTCATGCAACAAACAAAATTCGATTTAGCTGTGTGAATGAAGATATACATTTTCATTATTGTCAGAGAATAATCTATCGATAGTACAATTAAGAATGGCACGTTATTGGTTACTCTTCTACAAAATTGATTGCGTAGTCTAGAAGCTATGCGATGTAACAAATAACGTACTCGTTCTATTGTCAGTATTTTCTTAAATTATTAGATAGAGTGAATTTTGACTATTTCTTCAGGGCGTCAGGTTGGCACAAAAATTCGAGGCGCTAGTTTTGGCTGACGCACGCTTCGAGATCCCTGCCACGAGGCACTTGGGGCTCGTCGTGTTCCGTCTTCGTGGTGAGAACACCCTGACGGAGCGTTTGCTGAAGAAAATGAATACAAGAGGTCGCGTCCACTGCGTACCGGCTGCCTTGCACGGAAAATACGTGATTAGGTTCACCGTCACTTCGACCAAGTAAGTTATTCAACGTTTCTAGTAGAACAAAATGAAAAAAACATAGAGATTCTAATTAGAACTGAAAAGGTGATTTAAAAAAGCGTATGAATCAGAGAACTATTGCACGCCTTGTGTAAATTGAATTTGAATTAGTACTGAGTTGATAGTATTAAAAATTAAAATATTTGTTCACCTCTTTGGAGAACTGAACTGTGTTCTTTAAATATGTTTCAGCACGACCAACGAGGATATTTTAAGAGACTGGGCCGAGATAAGGAACACAGCGAACGAGATCCTTGGGGACACCTCGAGTTCTCCAGTACGAGCAAGAGTTCCACTTGCAGGTAACACAGAATCAAAAGGTAGATTATTGATTGAGCCAAGCTGATACGATCGATTCCTTAAAGTAAACAGTCAAACATTGTGCATACAGCTTTTGCACGCCGCTCAAAGAACATTTCGAATGTAAGCTTATTCTACTTATTAAACACATGATTCTTTTTCAGCCTCTTAGAACAAACCAGGTTTCGTTATTTTCCTTTTGAATAAATACTCCTTGGGATAATAATATAAACCTTTATGCCAAAAGAGAGAATTGTTTCAACGATTAAGACCTTTAAGTAACGTTCTTTAAATGTTTTAATTGGAAGTGTAATATTTCTACTAAATTATTTCCTCGGTGTTGTCGAAATTATACTCTTAATTACCTGATATTAGAATTCAAAATCTATCATATCGTATCAATAATATAAAAATAGTTATTAGATTCGATAACGCACACGGTGTAAAACGCGAAAGTTCGTAGATTGTACACATGTAACTAAACTATTATATTTACGAACACTCAGTTGCAGGATTCGTTTAATTGTATAAGTAGCATTTAAAAATACCATTCGATTTTGATTTCAGTTCCCCTAGTGATTTAGGTTTCCGACCTACGCTAAGCAATCTGTACGAAAGATAATAAACAATTTTCTTTCTAATCGCATTGTTTTCTTTTTGTTTTTGTTTGTTCTGTAAAAATGCACTGTCTGTAATACTTGGGGCACAGAAAGCTCAGGTAAGACGAGTTTGCAATCTTCTGTGGTTTCGTTTTTTTCTTCCTTTCGTTTACACGTTAGCTCTTTTAATTGTCACGTGTCCCTAAATGTCGATGCTGGAATCGAAACATAAATAGACGTTTCGTTTTTCAGATACTCGAGAGAAGAACGAAAACTTTGGCTCGAGTTTGCTGCTGGCCAATTCACCTATGTCACCAAAAATCGTTAATGGCAGCTTCGCTGCCATATACGATACAGCTGATGTGTTCGAAGACTGCACGAAGGCTTTTGGTAAATTGCGACTAGAAGCAAGAGATAGTCCAGGTAAAAAAATAACAGAATCTATTTAATATTTAAATTGAAACAAACAAAATATATAAATCGATCAACGTTAAATTTCATTTCTTTAAAAACGTATAATTAAAGTTTTAAGTATTTTTGCGTTCATTTTGTGTAAAAGTATAGTAGAAAATTTGCAGTAATCTAAAGAAATTTATATCGACAGCTATGCGACGTCGAATTCGAGGAATACTCATGTCAGGAAAGCAGTTCTCCTTAGATTCACGTATGGACCTCGTACAAGTGAGTCTTCTGCCTTTAAAAAAATACATTTTAAAAATAGTCTTCCGAAAACCCTCTTAGAAAATAATCACAGGAACTTCCTGACTCTATCACTTAGAATTTTCAACGCCTTCATGACTCAAATAACTACACAATATATTTGTACATCACTTGCCCGAAGAATACCACATTTTTTTATTAAAATCTTCATGAAACACGTCATTTTTGTTTCAGGGATATGCCTGCTGTCGCCCAGCAATCGAAATGACCTCTGAATCGCCACTGAACGAGGACGAGGATCCCTCAGGAACAGGTGAATCAGGATCCGACACTAATCAATCCAATAATGGCAAGCAACATTAATTAATAGTAATTTTCAAATGCTGACATATTAATTTCCCTAAATTGTAACTGACTCCTTGTATCTTAGACAGTTCGCATAAAAATGGCGCATGTAATAACGATAGTAAAAGTATACAAAGAAGAAGTTTATTAAGCTTTCGTTGCCTACTTCTGCCTTCAACAAGTATTAATTTGTTTCGTATGCATTTGCTTTTATCATAATATATATCTTATAAATCATCTTGTAAAAATTAATATAATGTACACATGTATAGTCGTAAAATTAAACATGTATTTAAATGTAATAGTTGTAAAATATTTTTTATCGCTATATGTTATTCAAATAGGATCACGTAAAACTTAATTAGTTTAAATAAAAGTTGCTGACACCCAATCAGTACAGATCGTTAAAAAAAGTCGAGTACGAGTCTTAGTGGTCTAGTAAGAATGGCTACTGAATCCATAATCATGCTATCTTCCTAATGAACAGGTGAAAGTCACAAATACATAAACAATAATTTTTTAAACAACGACTCATGTACATACATGCAACCTAAGCATAAAAATTCATTGTATAGAAAGGTTCTACAAATCGAAGAAAAATATTATTTACAACACTATGGCTTTCATCCCTTCAAATATCATCAGAGAATATTAACAACCTACATTTAAAATTAAAATAATTCTCAGATAATATGTATTCTCAACTTTGGCCTCCCCTTCCCGCCAGAAACCTATGTAGAAAATACCGTAGAAGCAAAATTTAAAATTAAAAGCATTTAGTACAAAATTTCCTCGGTCTTTGATTATAGTATAACTCCTAAAATTTCCTGTCGTCAGATGCTTCAAGAGAGAATTCGACAGCCCACCAGGATTCATCGGATGCAACAAAGGATAAATTATTGAGAAAGCAAAGCTCTAAGACTCGCTCGAATTACGTAGTGAACGGATCCATCCAGATCGGTACTCAGGATTGCTCAAATGAACTAACGTCGATGATCACGGCCGAGGCGAATATGCCTAGGAGCGAAACAATAGGCGCGATTGGTCATCGACCTTACACAGGTGACTTATCGACCGTGGGCGACCAACATGAGAAGCCTGACAAGGAGAAAGATGGAGGCGAGGAGGACACTGATTTCTGCAGAAAGTGCGGCCACTGTATGAAAAAAGAGTAAAGTTAATCGGTTCATTGGAATCAGTTCGATACTAACTGTACTCCCTCCCGCATCTTCGATGGATTATATATTGTTCAGATTAAGCGTAGCACTTCGCAGGCCTAGCGACGCTTAACAAACTTGTTGGAAAGAAAGTAATAAGCTGCGATAATAAATCTAAAGTTACTATCCGATCGCCTGGATCCCTCGATTAATTTCCTGCTTGCCAGGGTTACTGCGTTTTAGCATGAGGAGCAAGATAAAATTAATCCTCGTGGTTGGCTAGATTTAGATACGATTTTAATTTGTAAATTTTTAATCTTTTATTACCCCACGAGTGGAAGAGGTATTCTCTCGGTCATGTACTGTGCTTGTCGGTAAGACTTCCTGACGTAGAACTCTCGGTCGGTAAGATAAGTTACTCTACAGGCAATGCAGAACACTCCGTCGATAAAGATAAATCCTCAAAGGAGAACAATCCAAACAAACTGATCTAGAAACTAGAAAATGATAAACGAGAAGTTTAAATTAAATACGCGGGACCGTGTCTCTGCAATACTTGGATGAGAATCAGACCTGAAAATAAAAATAATTAAACTTCAAAATGATTTATAAATTACAGCAAAGCATAACAATGTGTCAAACCAATCTAGACCATCGTTTCTCTTACAAACAACTTTCTTCTTCGCCAAGGCATCACTCTTCAAGTTAATTATCCTAGATTCCTAAAAATGACACAGGCAGGTAGATCCAATGATATATAAACTTTATTGCGATTTACGATACGACATGAAAACGCGCCAGGCCCACCGGGCCTTCGATGATCGCCGCTTCCGATGTCTGGAAAAACATATCTTGAACGACAGTATCCTCTAACGTGTAACAATTCTTCTGTACAATTTCTTTCTCCTTATAATAGTTGTTCGCGCGATGAAAAATATTGAGAGAAGGGGGAGTAAACGTATATGTACACATATATGTATATTTTCATTGAGGTAAGTCAACAAAGTATCACTTTTGCGTCCGATAGTGTATTATAATATATATTCGCGTCAACAATTAAATCGCGGTCGTACATCATACTCGTAGACTCGTAAACTCGATACACCACTTTTTAATAGTATTTAACAATCATTAAATTACAACATTCCCTTATCACCGTTCCGTCCCTGTTTGGACAGCTCGTCGGTGTTTTCTGTACCACGTTTGCTTATCCTATGACGTTTAACAGCAGTAGAATGTGTTACCTCAACTTCTACAACCGCAAGTAGAACAACTTTCAACACTTAAATGACGCTTTCTGAGCACCTTAATGAATTAATCGTGGACTGCACCGCGATAATTGTCCTTTACGAATGTTCCCAGTGGGTGAATGTTAACGAAAGCGTTGACATTTCTCTGAACTTTTGCACTCTTACTCTCGTTCCATCCAATTGTTTGCATCACGATTTTAAACGGAAATGTCCTATGCTCCGTAATTAGTGGCCAATGTATAATTTTTCCTATGAGAGTCATTATCATGAAATGTAATTGGCGATTATTCCTCGCGTTTCTTCGCAATTATCACCCACGCTGATCGATGATAGGCGAAGACAAAAATTCACCATGATATTCGTACAACGAAGTACATATATTTAAACGCTACGTGTTACACGTCGACGTTACGCGTTCAATTGTTACCGTTTTCGTTATAGCTAAGCACTGCTTAACATTACTTTCCGTATCGCTATCGTATCGATTCTAGTAAAAAATTAATAAATGCTATAGAGCAAATAAATACTTATCAACAGCTCTCGTCTCGACAGGCACGCTGAGCTGGACGCTCGATTATTGGCTATCGCGCTTACCATTAAACAGCGCTTAACTATCTCAAAGTCGCATTCTGAGAACCCTAACGCTATTATTATCGTGAGATTATTAACTCCGCGGAGGCAACGATATGTGCATTAAAGAAGATTACTTCACTCTATCACTTGCGATTTTAACTTTGCTCGAATAAGACGCGTTTCCACGACTGGATGCTCTAAAATATAGCAATTGGCTGAAAAATTAGAAATGTTAACCTTTCGCTGCGAAGCTCAAGCGTTAGATACATTAAGAGAAAAGTCATCAGAATCTACGTCCTCTGTTAGATCACAAAACTGGTTGAATTAATCGCACTGAAAGGACACGTCAGAAAATGTTAAAATATAGCTACTGAACTTCTCGGAAATTAAAAATGTTAATCCTTTGCTACGAAAAGTTATTAAAGTCAATGTAATAGTCCGTTCCTATGACTAAAGTTCTGTTGACTAGCAAAGGGTTAAAGTAACCGTACCGAAAGAAGAAAAAAAAATAGACAAGGTCTGTGATTCCTCTACGTATCCTTACAAACTAGAGATCTATCCCTTTGTTTTCTCGAAAATAATAACGGTACATCGAAATCACAGATAAACGCACGGAGCTGAATGGGCGATCAACGTAAACTACGTGCTGCTCAATAACGCTACTGTACCATTTAAAACAAATCACCTCATGCCATCGGATCGCTCTAGAGTCCCCTTCGAAATTAATCAGAATCACATTAACGAAGATTACAAGAGGCCAGAAAAACTCAACATGTCGACATACAATCGGTACACATTGACACGTAAAAAAGACAGAGGGATTCTCGAGACACTTGCATCGTAAAAATACTGATCATACACCATTCAGTATGCGCAATGTTCCGTCAACATCGAGATAAAAGTGTGGAGCGTGTCGATACAGGTTTGACAGGTCGACGCGCTTGAACAGCGATTACTGTGACAGAGTGTACATCGATCAACGATCTCCTCGATCCTTATGCAAGCACTTGAATATATGAGTTGTCGTGTATAGAGGCGGACGAAGAAAGTATGTCGATCGTCGATATGAAACAATCTCGATCGGACGGAACGGATCGAACGTCTCTCGATGGAAAAGTATCGTCGAAGCGTGTTTGAAGCTTAAATATTATATTCTCTTTTTAATGTTTATCTAAATCAGGACGAATGAGAGATTCTGTATAGAGGAATAACAGCTCGTTAACAGCATTTCTGATACGTCAGATCCGAAACGTATTCGATCGATCTGCTTAAGATTCGTCACAGCACATCCGCCATTACTTCGCATGGTACTCGCATCGGTAGCAATACGTGGATTCTTTCCAGCTGCGAGGCCAGACTCAAAGATGAGATTCACTCGTGTCATATGTTGATTCAGTGTTGTCGTTGCGCCGTTCCTGTCGCGCCTGCTGTACTTAAAAATAATTATTTTAATCGGGGGGAGGGGGAGAAGTTTCTTACAAAACACCAAGTAGCTTCGAAGAGGAAGAACATTCATCCTCCGAGGTTCTTCTTCGTTACTTTAATAGTCTTTGTTCGTTAATGCAAGTGTCGACACACAAGACAATATATCCTTACAATTCGAACAATGATTACCATTGGGTTCGAAATCAACGAACTTCGAATGAATCTTTACTTAGATAAGAACACAGATGATTCATTCGATCGTTATTGGTCATTTTTACTTATGATTCATCTGGATAGAGAAGCTAAAGCTCGCTTCCGCCATGGAACGCGTATCAAGCGAATCAGCGAAGGTAAACATTCACTAGTGAGTGTTCACATTCCCCGATTTTCCACTCTTACGGTAACATGCCAATCGCATTGCGATATTCGCTTCGAGTTTAAAAAAGAAATAAATCAAAGGAATATATTCCAAGTTTCGTTGGGAGAGGCTCCAGCAGGCGCTCGCGGATTCGCGGTGCAACGACAAAACGAGAATGATTAGACAGAGCGTTGAAAAACGGCATCATAAACCGAAGAAAACGTAGCCTCGCAGCCGCGCGTGCGACAATGAACAAATGACGCGACACGAGCCGCATGGCTTGCCAGAGAACCACCGGTTAGCTCGGTTTTTGGTCAATCGAGCACCGGCGCTTGTTTGGCAAGAGGCTCCGCTGGAGAAGCCTTTCTGTGAGGACATGCGCGTTCAACTTGGCCGTGCCAGCCCGTACCTCAATCAGTTTTGCGTGATCGAAAGCTCGAACGAACGAGTACTGTCGAGCGAGTCAACGTCGCTTTCTGCGATCGAGTTCCTCGTTTCATTGCGTGTCGAGAGAGAGATGGCCGGAGGGAGTTTCCGACTTAAGCCTGAAGCCCTCTTGCGCTACCAATTTTAATCGAATCGGTGTGGCACGTTCGAAGCTGAAGGCCCACGTTGTGCTTTCTTTACGTTCGATATGCCTCGCGTTGCATTCGTCAGGGTGGAGGGTTTCGTGTTCGGGCTGCTGTTTTCCAGCCGAGCATCGCGCGGGGAAGACTTCCATGAATCCTTCGAGGTTTATTATCTTTTTTTTTTCAAGATTAAACATACCAAGCAGGGACTTTCGAATGTTCTCGAAAACGTTAGCAATATTGTTTACGATATTTGAGGCGTTCGCAAGTCGGATCATCAGAATTAATCCTGAATGAGGCTTTTCGGTGTAAGCTTTGTCCCTGTTTTTAGAGGTCAAATGATACATTGATTTCGGTGTCATAATATCAATGTGTCATCATTTAATACCTGGAAAAGCCAGCTGCAATGCACTGGTACTTGTGTCGTGATATCAGTGTATCACTTGATCCCTAAAGAAACTATCTGCAATATTGGTAAATGTTTGGAGTATTCTACCATGAGGAAGCCCCAATTAGGATCAATTGAGAACATTTTTTAAATAGGTTTTACTTTTTATGTAGTTTTCTATAGATAAAACGTGGAGTACGTCTGTTGACTAATGTATTATAATATACAGTCAATCCCATAAATATTCGTACCCTCTATGTCTATTGAAAGAAGTTTTACTAAATTAAATAATAGTTTTGATGTTACCAAATGGATTTTTTATTATAAATATGTATATGAATAAGCTTATACGTGTACATATTTATATAAACGTACACTTGGAAACATCAAATCTACCATGTAACTTAAATAAATTTCCTCGATAGACGAAGAGCGTACGCATATTTATGGGACTAACTGTAGGTATACTTAATAAAGTGGTGCAACAAATATACCAACTTTTATACCTCAAATATGTATCTCACGAAACAATCTTGCTTTCACAGTCAACGAATGTACCCTTCTTGTATTAAAAAATAGTCATATACCTCGACATTCCTGAAGTTTACAAATTTAGAATGCAACTTGATTGACTTCAGAATCTCATTGGAAGTCAGTCACCGGCCGAAGCAAAGGCTGCGGACATGGAGTTCCTTGTTTGTCGCAAAAGTACTAATAACAAATTCATGCAAGTGTCATGCAAGGTGTTGCTGCGCTTGAACGTCGGTGGACAGTGGATAGAGACGACAAACATTGCTGGAGTATCGTGTATTAATGAAATCTGATTCCATTCGATCGTTTAACGAAGGAACAGGTCCAAGGGTGTCGTCGCTTCTCCTCTGTCGCGATTTTCAACACACTATACCGAAGGTGCTACAATTCATGCACTTGAACTCGCTCCTTTCTACGTGTGAACACACTCTTGCTAAATACGTGATTGGTAGAATCGCTAACACTACCGAGGCACACATTCGCACGCGCACGCACTTCCGAGCGGTTCACCTTGCGGTAGTTATTTACCTATGTGGTCAATAATTTTATTATTTTACTATTTGAGTATTTATTCCGCGTATGTGAATATTATTATTGAAGAATATTTAGGTGGTATCGCTCTTGGAATGTTTGAATGTGTATTAGAATATTGTTGCTGGAATATTCAAGTGCTTCGATATGATTAGAATATTTGAATGCGTATTGGATTATTCAAGTATTTCAATACATAATCGTGCATCACTATCCAAATATCGTTATGCAAATAACAAAGTGTTCGTTTTCCATGAAAGGTGAATCTACTAAATGAACGGCCTGCATCACAATATTCGAATATTACTTGAACAAATACAAAATAATTCCTCGAGTACAATATTCGAATACGGAAACATTCCCGAACCTTATATACTGAGAATGATTCAGATTCTTAACCACATACTGAATTCTATCTGTATTAACTTTTATCGATTCGACTACCATTGGATGATCCCTCGAAAGGCACGCGTGCGAGCAAACTCGAGACACGTAGAACACGAAAATGCTGCTGTCGATGCTCGTCGGCCGTCGTCGCTGCGTTTGATGACATCGCTGTCGGATGGGCATGCCGAAACCATGCTTCCTGGCCGTGGACTACCTTAAGCACGCTGGTACCAAGGGCTACTTCCGTTTCATTTTCTCATGGCGGATGGGGCGCGTCGGTGACTCATAAGAATGGCGAATGAGTAAACTTTCAGGGACGTCTCAGTGACGAAGAACAGTAGAGAGAGCGCGGCAATAGCGAAACACGCGCATGGGCACCGAAATCACGCGTTATTTATCTTGAAATTTTGATAAAATGTATTCAAAGAGAGCCGTGGTATCCTGAATTTCATCCTTTAGAATCAGTTTCTTAGAGCACGAAATATTGTAGAATTCGTCTAGTATTGCATTGACACTTAGTTTACTATAACAATAGATATGTAGAATTCCTCGTAAAATAAACTTCCATTGTTAATGTCTTTGGCCTTGTTGTTGGATATATTCAAAGAGACAGTATTGTAATTTAAGAATAAGAACCTTGTCTTCATTAACATGCGAATTTATTTTTGTATACTTTTTTCTAATAAAATATTTCCGTGTAGTCTACACTATGTTCATATTTCCCTTTAAATAATAAGTCCAACAATTAACGCTCATAGGTAAAAGGGCATCTCAAACCTACATTTTAAAACATTTTAAGCTGTAAACACAAAAATATGTTATACCACGTATATATCCATTATATCTTACGTTTTTTTATTCCATTACCATTTCATTGCCATTTTTTCATTTTAACTCTAAACTTTCATATCAACCAATCCCTTAGCTTAAATACTTTCCCTAATAGTTCGTTTTTGCAAATTATAACAACGTCTCCCCGAGAAGGCCTCTATAATAAAACAATGGGAGTTTACCTTATTCCAGCGAATGTCAACAATTATTTACAAAATGGCTACCACCGATTTCTGCAATCTATTGCCTCGAAAGCGATATAACGTCATCATTGACGAAAGTAAATCTCATTATCATTACGCGTACGAAACGTCTGGCGAATATCAAAAGCTCCCAGCAATCAACTCTAATCCACCAGAACAACTATCCCTTATCGTAACGTTTCTTATCGCATTTCTCTGCGTCTCGACTCGGTTATCCTTCGTCACTCGGGGATTATTTTTTGGAGAGGCTTCCTCACTCCCAGTGCAAGACGCGCACAGTGCTCTAAGCTGTAAATGCGTGACGTAACACCATCTACAACACATTAACTCCTAAATCTTGCAATGATCGAACGACGTAGCAAACAGTATACACCTACGTTACGTATTTTCGTGATCTACCTTCGCTTAGAAACATGGCGGACCTGGCACAGAAGCACAGGTGACATCAAGCGAGCGAGGGAATTTCAATGAAAGAAACATTCCAAGAAATCAGCACGGCGATATTAGTCCATTCTAATCTTTCCGTTTCTTTTTTTTTACTAAATATCAAGAGCATCTCCATTCAGCGACGCTAAATTCTAAATGATTATCAAAGTGCTTACGAGAATTAGAAAAACGATGCTTAGAAATCTTCGATAAATACGTGACGATGAAAAGAGAAGATGCATTGAATATATAGGGTCAGTCTCATAAATATTCGTACCCTCTATATCTATCAAAGAAGTTTGTCTAAATTAAATAATAGGTTCGATGTTTTCAAATAATTGTTCATTATAAATATGTACATGGATAAACTTTACACTTGTATATATATAATGGAAAATGTATTTTAAAACGTCAAATTTATCATTTAATTTAGACAAATTCCTTCAATAACCACAGAGGGTACGAATATATATGGGATTGACTGTATAAGAGAAGTAAAACAAATTGAAAATATCACGTTTCATGCAGTACAATTTTTCCAAAAAAAATCAATCCATATTGCAACCAATTTCTACTATTTAAAGCATAACTTTCCGGCAGTTACGATAAACTAATTCGCGTCCTTTAATCGCAGATAATTTCGTAAGTCGACGAACATCTTCTACCCGGTGTCAATTTCAAAGGTGACTCGAATCGTTTGCGAATTGTTGGCAGCGTTGTGCAAAATGGATGAAAGTAATCGAGAATTTCATACCTTGGATTGCGCATTCGCCAGGGAGAGGGCAAACGAAATTCTCTCTCGTATGTGCACGTATCACAAAGTCATTGCAGCGAACGTGCGTAAGCTCTCTCTCTCTCTATATATATATATATATCTTCCTCTCTCTCGAGGAGACGTCAACAAAAAATAACAAGGGATCGCGGTAAAATCGTGAGAGTGATAGAGAGTCGAATGATTTGTCTACACAGAACACGGTCCAGATCTCTCGCTACTGTCTACGCCGAAGAGAGGATCGGGATGAGCGATTACAGAGTGCAGTATCTCCAGTGAAGGAAAGAAGAGAATCGTTGTCAAGCGTTCCGATCGGTTCGATCATCGATAAAACGTTACATTTATCTGTAAACTCATCAGATAGGAATTTAGTAGAATTCCTGTATAGACTAATGTCGGCTGATACGGTTAGCATCTCGTTGCTCTACTTCATATTGTGTTTTACTGTTAGGTTGGTATTGTTGTGTATTTTCATGTTCAGTTTTTGGACAAATATAGACTTTAAAAGACCCTGGGTAATTATGCTTCAATGTGTAATATTTTCTTCTATCCTGAGGATTTTATTTTCCTCAACGGAGGCTTCTACTATCAATATCTGCCGATGGTCGGTATCGAACGATTCTCTTCTCTTCCGTGAAACACATTGTATATCTTACCTCTCGGTTCGCATCATCGTGTGGAAACAAATAGAGAGTTCTCGCTCATCCTGGTCAGTACGTGACTGTACAGGATCGCTCGTCCCGACTTGGTGTTCGTGACGCCGGCTATAACTAATGGTCTACGAGGATATGAATCAAAACCACCGCGGGTGAATCGAGAGTAGAATCAGTGTTATATGACGTGACCATTGCAACGTTCTACTAAGCAAGCTGGGACCCCTAAGATGACTGAGCGTAGTACAAGGATGGTCGACAGGATCAGCAGGAGTACGGGATTCGAACACGAGGTCGGGGGGACACGATTGCACATATCCTCCTCACAGAAGCACATGTGACCAGTGCCGGTACTTTCCATCATGCACACGTGGTCCACCATGAATAAGTTTATCTGTAGCTGAGATGTGCAGGTCCGTCTCACGCTCTCGTACGCTGCGAACAGACGATTACCTATGTCAGAGTCGGTTAAGTGAAGGACTTCTCAGGAGGAACCTTAGTTAATGAAACACTAATGTTGTGTATTGTACCTGAATTGAACATGGCCAACAAATATAATATCACTGTATTTAAACGTGGCGGATGTAGAGCTGTTTAAACGAACAATCTTTCAAAGAGGGCTTTAGAATTTTGTTATTTATTGAAGCACTTATGCTGTGTAATGTACCTGAATTGAACATTGGCTGCAGGTATATTATTGCAATTAAACATGGAAGATGCTGGTTTGACACAAAAGACAATAGTCTTATGTACATGTACCTAGTGAATATAATTCATATAATTTCATTCTATTTCTCCTTCCTCATTTATCATTACTGTTGTTGCGTTAAAATTTGCTACATAAGGTTGCAAAACAACCAAAGTACTTGTACCTATTATTCTTCTCTATATTTAATTACTGTTCGCGATAAAATGATAGGTGACACTTACACGACTTCGCGTTGCGAACCATTTTCACGCAGCAACCATTGCAGATCATCAATGGTGGCCGATCTCTAGGAAGCGCGGTGTAATTGAATGGATCCTTGCATCTGAGGTCTGTCCACGAATCGCATTCGTAGCAGTAAACTCTTCGAGCTGCAAAACACATTCTAAATGAACTCAAGCATTTGTTTCAACCAACAAAAGAATTTAAAAAAAATAGAATGTAAACCGATTGGGTATTTCAACGCCAATGTACTTTTACGTTTACTAGGAATGAAATCATAGAAATCCTCAACGATCGCAGACAAAAATTAAAAATATAAGCTGCTTTACGCGAAAATGTAGAAAAGAAAAATACTGTGAAGATAAAAGGTAGGTAATCGAAAGTTCGAGCAGGATGTGTTCAAATTACTTTATCTCTCACAAGTTTGTGCGACGTAACCGCTGATAATAATAATAATAAAGAAAAGTGGTTTTCACGCGAGACGAATGAATTAAAAATGAGTTGAATTCGTAGATGCTAGTCCTGCGGGGATTACGTCGAAGATAAGGACACTGAAGAGAAGAGCTGGCTTGATCACTCACTCTGGCACTCTGCGCGACAGACGGTGGCAACCGCGAGTACAATTGCCGCTGAAACGAAACATTGGTCACTGTGTTAGACGACGATAACCATGACGGTAGCTAGTAAATGGCTACGTAAACGATTATCATGAATACAACAACAACAATAACAACAACAACATTTGGGTGCATATTGCTAGAACTACCACTATTATTCCTACTGCTACTGCCACCGCTACTGGCGACGATTCTATTCATCGTCGTGACTCCGTCTAGCTTCGTATCGCGGATGAAAACATTGGGATAACTTCGTATCCGAATATCTTATTGATCCATGATCGTTCACCAAGATTTGACTAATGAATCCAACGACAATTTAATTAGTCAATAACACTCGTCACGTTCCTCGTTTCTGGGTGCTTGTTTCTTATTATTTTTGGTTTCTACCTACCTGATGACGTTCGTTTAACCAGGTCTTGTTTCCAATTGGAAATTCCATTTTGCAATTTTTTGTAGCTACTTTCAATTGAATCGAATAGATGTTTCAAATGCCAACTAATTGTTGCTTGCTTTTAAACTTTCGGGTAGTTATAACTTCTTCTTCTGAGCAATTATTTAAATGAAAGTTGATGTTTCGTTTAAATAACGCCCAACTCTAAATAGCAAGCTCAACTGAATGTTGGGAAAGTAGCATAGGTCGATAGTTAACAAGTCGTGCACCAGACTTCTTTCGTTCCTCGGGTTATAAATTATCAACGAAGAAAATAGGTTTTCCCACGTAGTGTAGGTTCTGTTTTTAGATATAGGTGACAATTGTTTGATCGAATTAGGTTTTCAGCATCGAAGTTCTTAGAATCTTCCTACTTTCGAAAATTCATTTAAAGTTCGTTAATGTAAAGTGACGGTACATAGGTTTTTATAAAATTAATAGAAGTTTCTATAACGATCGATTTTAATGAAATTTGGTACACAGGGGTTTTCGAGGTCGCTGATTCCAAATCTGAACTCAAAATTTAGAAATTCGAAATGGCGGATACACCATAACGACACAACATGCGAAAAGTGTTCATTCCATTTGTCCAGTAGTTTATATTCAACGTTTTGACTTTTCCTTGGGTTGAGTAACATTTGAGTAAACTAAAAGAAATCTCTATATATAATTGCATAATATAATCAAATTTATAATCAAATGAGCGTGTATCAAGGTCGATGCTTCATCAACATTGCAAACATTAATTTCTTTCTCCCCCACCACTTCACGAGAAACAAACTTATTTCCTCAACATTATTTGCCCCATCGAACCAAATAAATTTTGCAAAAACATTTTTAAATACTAGCTTCATTCCCTTGCGAGACATTACTGATAATTATAATACTAATAACCACTCTATATTGGAAACTTCTATTAATTTCATACGAACGTTGTGTACAGTCACTTTATATTAACGAACTTTAAATAGACTTTCGAAACTGGAAACTTCTTGTGAACTTTGCCACTCAAGAGTTTATTCGAGTAATTCGTGATTAACTGTAGCTAGGAATAGAACGTTTCTGTCCTTATTTCTCATACTTGCAGACCACTCTATTCATATGTCATAAACAAGATCGAGTTCTCAGAGGTGGATATCCTTTTTATTCTATTTCATACCTTCCAGTATGCAGCATTTCTTAGTCGTGGCATGTGTGAAAAATCTGATAGTTAATAAGAAGTAGACAGTCGTTGATCTGACCTGTTGTCGGTTCTATCGATCTTAGAAACTTATTTCGTACGTACCTCGTGCACAGCGGCAGCGATCGTACGCGTGTCTACTAATGCAATTGATTTTAACGTGTTGTTTCTCAGAACATAATCTACGTACGTACAAGAAGTCTATGGTAATAATAATACGAGACGAGGTTTCGTTGCGTTTACGGCGTGTCGTTGCCGACTAACATGACCGTCGATTTCTTATTTTAAAAAAGGACGACGTCATAGAATTTTTTTTCCCTTTTTTCTCTACCTTTTTCTTTAAGATTTATTGGTGGTTTTTATATTCGTTTAAGAGATTCATTTGCATTTGATGCAGAGGATTATATACTTCAGTTGCGAGTGAAAATGAACTACAACTGATATAAGATGATCAAATTCCTCAATTTTCTCTGTTACATATTCTTTATAAATTTCACTCTATACTTATATGTTTTTTTCTTTTTTTATTCTATGAAGAGAATCCAAAAACAGAATCAAAACATTACATGATATTTAATCATGTCGTGTGTATATGATATTAATCCGAAGCCAAAGAAATAAATTGTTTCATTGTTGTAACATTATTTTACTGGAGATAAATTATTGCAGTACGAAGAAAGTATGTGCTATTATTTTCGTCGACGACGCTAGATAATGTATTTACATCATAGGCGATATTAAAAAATTATAAATCAAAGGTCTTGACAGTATTATCTCGTCAGACGAAGATAGATCGAGGAAAATCGATCGAGAAACGAGGAGACTTTAATCACCGATGACGCTTTGTGCGGGTCAACCCTTATCTAATCGCGAAATACGTTTCCTTCCGCTTTCGTCGTCTGCAGTGCACACTTACCGGAAGCAGTGTGCACGATCCTCTCCAAAACAATTTGACAAAGCACATTCCATTCGTATCTAACTAGTCAGGCACAATTATTGCTTCGAGGGAGGGAGGAATGTTCTAGCTAGCTCGAAGGGTGTAAGCGATAAATGACACTACGCGGTAGTACGTCGCAAATTCTCCCCTTTTCGAACAATTTTAGAAAATACACACATATGTGATAAACTTTTAAAGAATATAAATTTAATAATATGGATTGTTTTGTTGGCCATCACAGACACTGTGTTGTATAAGGGGTAATTAGGAGACTATCCAGAGTGTAATAAGGCATAGTTACTTGTACATTTCAACGGTTCAATCCCAATGTTTCCAGTCCTCTTCAGAAACATAATTAAAATAACGTGTGCAGTGCGAGATATTGAAAGCAGTAAACAATATTGATAAAAATAGGTTAAAAACATGATATGGAGAATTTAAAAATACGAGTATAAAAATAGCTTATCATGTAGAGGAGATAGCGATACTTTTGTCTTTAGTTTATGTATAATAATGATGCTTTGAAAATTGCTATATTCATTAGATACTCTCACTTTTTAATTCATTAACTAAATACCCCAATTAAGTCCCAAAAAAAAATAGGATTAAAGTATCAAAATGTTTAAGTAACTCTGAATTAAAATGCTCTGGATAGTCTAACAAGTCACTACCTCTATGTTGCAAAAATATCTATTTTTGCCTTGAGTATTAGAATACATCTAAGAAACCTGACATTTCTAACAAATATTTCCAAGCAGACAAAAGTTAATACACTGATATGATATGAAAAGAAAAGTTTCAAAAATGTACCAAAAGATGCTACGTTCAAAAATACAGTTGAATCGTGTCGAAATATAATATGTATTTATCGTTGCAATGTACTCTTACGCAAATCCACCAATAAGTTATCTAAGACTGTGCTCGTACATTTAACAACCCCTTCATAGACACCATAAGTAAACGATTTAAAAACACGCATAATAAAACAAATCGAGTCCAAAGAATCGTTCAGAACTAATGGTACAGTAAATTTAATAATTACTTGCGAAACTCACCCACTAACAAATGATTCGACCCCATGTTTCCCGTGGTAGCTCCTTCTTACTTTTTATACAGCTTCATGCCGTGTCACGAATTCGCCCTTTCGGTAGAAATGCACGCCAGATGCAACTCGCGGAGTTGCATTCGCCCGCCAGGCAATCGACTGTAACGGGAAAACAAAAATTAAAACTAGCAATCTGACGTTAATTACACTTCGTTAAACGCTGAGCGTGTTTCGTTGGATATTTCTATACAGTCATGCGCGATTGGCGGTAATCAGAGGCCGAAACGTATCGGAGCAGAAACAGAGTCGCCAATTTTAGAAAATCAATGCCACGGATGGATCTTGGGTAGCTCGGCGAGAGATCGATAATTGTGTGTTTCGTAACGAAAGTGTGGCAACTAGTTAATTATCATAAATTCGTAAAAACAAAGTCGCAATATATGAATTAGTATTGAATTTTCAATCCATACTATAAGAAGTAACCTAAGGATAGGATAACTAGGAATTTCTATTAAATCGTTATGATTTTTTTGTGTTAATTTGCTTCAGAAGGGTGTAACGATAGGAACCAGTGAAAATTTCTGCAGAGATTGAATAAATGTTTATTCATGGATTGTAAAATATTATTTTAGTATCGCATTTGTAGGATGTCTTCAAACTTCTTTTATTAGAATTCAGATATTTAATCTACATCTTCGTCTTATTTTTGTCTGAAAGTGAGCTACTCCATATGCTCTGACTTATTTTAATAAGAGATCAGGCCATAGTCTGCTTTAAATCATTCTGTCCTCCCTAAGGGGAAGTTGTGTTAACACCATTTCTCATTTCTTGATTATTATATTTGGAATCTAGGTGGAGTTATTGTAACCAATGTTTTGCGAAATGAAACCAATGAAACGAAACCTTTCTAATTTAGCGTTGAATCTTGGTCTATGTAGTAATTAACTAATAATTATTTTTGTAATACACACATGAAAAATATTATTTAATATAAAATGACGATTGAGAAAACAATAAATAATAATTTAGGGAAGTTCACGTAAACAAATTTTAGAATAATGAACTTTGACTATTGTCGCACATATCGGTTATGTTAAGTATTGATTAGTATAGCTAATTTATTCCTGATCTTGTACAGACAATACGGAAACGTTCCAATATAACTCGAAGCGGCAATAGGATAAGGATACTATGTTTTTCACGCGATCTTGCGGCAACCAACACTGCGGCAAACAGCTGAGCCAACAAAGTGCCGCATATTCCCTTACCGCGTTACTATAACTTTGTCTACGTCTAACGTCTTCCAATGAATTAAGCGCTATAAATCGAAACACTATGTAGAAGTTCGATTTGGCACGATTTAAATGCAGGTTGAGCTGAAGTTTTACTTGCAGAAGTTTCAAGCGTATTCTACGGCTTAAAATCAATAAAACAGATTTATTGCAATGCTCGTGTTATTAAAATGGATTGGAATTACTATTATTCGAAGCAGTCAGGTGGAATTTATGATTATTCTTATATTTTAAAACCTTCGTGGTCGAAATAATTGTACAAAAAATTATTTCACTTGAATAGTATTATCCCAACTAATCCTGCATTTGTAATAATCCATAATAGACCGATATCCCCGTTCAAAAATTCTAATTCACCAACTCAATTCAGATAATAAATATTAATTTCTCCAGCAACGTGTAACTTTTATTTAAAAATAATTGTCGATAAGTGAATGCCGAGTAGTTCGCGATAATGAACGCACCGAGCCCCGTCTCTTCTGTTGTGTAACATCGATCTGGCAAGTGAAGTGTGTTGTTTGCCCCTAGGGTGAAGAAGTACTTGACGATAGAAGCGACGTTGAGCATCTAATCCGTTAAAAGGGATTTTCATTTGCATTCTAGGCTAAGGTTTCCAGTCGATTGATTGCATCGAATCTTGTTTATTCGAGAACTTGTTCATGATATCGTTCATGGATCAGCTCATATAACTGGGATGCTAATGCTAATCAATGGTACTCCACAGTAACTGCGTCGGTCAACATGCACATTTGATTTACCAGTGCACGTATTGGACATTCGAAATTTCTACAGTGAAAATTCACATTTGGCAAGCAACTTAACCCTTTCAAGCCTGAATTATGTTTTTTTTTCTCATACTAATGTAATTTAATTTTTATGATTAATTGGAACTAAAGTTAGTATGAAAAAATATAAAAAATAATTCTAATAGTGTAGTTTTTGAGGAAAACAGGTCTTTCTTCATGTGCACAAATAAGGGCGTTCGCCCTAAACGCTAGTGTCGGTAATTTTTAAATTTTGTGTCCTCAATTATGGACGCCAGGTCTGAAAGGTTTAATAACCTTTCAATAACTTTTAGAAAGAAGGGAAGATTATACAAGAAGTTGTATAAATAAGAAGGCAACGATAAAAATAAAGAAAAGAAGAGTCTGAAGTATCGTTTCAAGTTCAAAAAATTTACTTAGTACCTCACACATTGTCAGCAAGTAAAGTGTGAAAGTAAACAGACAATTTTTCATATGTTACAAATTTAAGATTCTATAGGTTGATGAAAGATTGTAATTCTGATGACTTGATGAATTCTAAAAAAATCTCAAGAAAACTCAGCCAACGATATTGTCAATTTCCTCGAGCAGTAATACAAAATCAAGAACATGAAGAGCTTTCTGATATAAAAAACTCTCTCTGAATTAGAGATGCATGTTTCGGACGAAGAATTACCTTACCTTTCGAGTCAGCAACGAGGATTCCTCCGGCCTATCAGCAACAACGAGTCTCCAAAGGATCCTATGGACACTGCTGAATAAATCGCCACGAGATCTGTATCGTCGTTCCGACTCTCTGCTACGAGGACTGGTGTCCGTTCCGCTGAGAACAAAGTCTTTCGTCGGAGCGTCGTGATTTCATTTTTCTAGGATGAGCGTCGTCCACCGATATCCGACGATTCTATATCAACATCTTCGACAGCCAGTATCGGCGATCCTGAAAGAATTTCAATTGAGAAGATTCGATGGAGTGTTCCGAAGAAATCACGATCGATGTGTCAATTTACATCGTACTCGATTGATTGACAAAACAATATGCACAACGATCGGTTAACCGATACCACGTCCCGCATATGCAAATGTTTGCACAGTGGAAAATGAAATGGACTTTTGACAGATGAGATGTATACTAGAAAATGCTCGTGGAAAGCATGGAACGCCACATAATACATAGCACACATTCCATACAAACACTGCTGGCGATCCTGCTTGTTGTACAGCATGTCGAGAAATGAAAGGAGGGCCTGAAAAACGTTTAACCCATTCACTGCCAACTACGAGACATTTCGTAGTTCAAATTGACTGCATTTACTCACGGGATAAGTTTATAGCCTATTGAGTCGCGAATTATTGTAAAAGAAGATCGTAAATTTTCTTTTTAAAACAACAAATTTAATATCACCGTTTATTATCAAAATAATAACGTAGATTACACACCTGTATTAAATATTGGCGCCCAAGGCAAAACGCTGTAAATTTCCCTGGTAGTGAACGGGTTAATGGTTGTTAATGGGGAAGTTTTAAGAAATAATATCAAAGCAGTATTCAATAATATTGGTTTTCTTTTATCTTTTGATTGAGATGATCGATATCTGGACATAACGACTAAAATTTAAGCACCTGTTGCGCAAACCAACGCTCACGGTTCTATATCAATTTCGAAAACCAAATTCCTGTGTCACACTTTGAGAATTTTTGGATATCTATAGGTTTTACTTGTGAATAACAAAGTAGAATAAAGTTAAAGCCGAAAATGTTTTAACAGTCTTTAAATTGACAAAGAAGAGTGAATGGGGAATTTTACTATTACGTTAAATTGAATCGTTGAATAGTCGTGAAAAAAGTCTATTGCGTTTTTCAGTACTAATACAATTTTAAAAGTGCAGGACTGACCATAAACTTGAATCTTTACAGGTTTCCCTTTGCTTTCGTTGGCTTCAACGTTTGCAGTAAGAAGAAAGTAGTACGAAGCTGGAGTTACTAGTACAATTGACCATTTCATGAAGAAAATATATTAAGAATAAACTCCAGAAATATAGAATCCATCTAATCAAGTTTATAATTTGAAGAATAGCGTTGAAATCAAGTTGATAATTGCAAAATGATCCGTCTCGAGGAAGGTACCAACGCGGGAAACCAGTTAAGTAGTTAATTCCGCAATGATCAGACAGCCACTTTCGTTCGCAGTAGAAAATGTTACGCATTCGACGTACAATAACCACTACAGAAAAATGAATTTACTTCATTCTATTATTCATTATGTAGGAGTCTAGTTAAGATATCTAAACAAAACTATTTAGATATCCAAACTATTTAAGATATCTAAACAAAACTGTTTGGTTTAGGATAAATTATCTTAACAAAACTTTCTAAATAAAAATGTAGATAGAAATTTTTTATGTTTATGTTACATGCACAACTGACTTCCGCGAAACAATATGTTACTATTTTGACGCATTGCCATAAAATATTTAAACTCATGGAAACGTGGAGTGTTCAGAGGCACATCGCATCCCGTGATATCACTTGTAGCGCCACTAATAATGACACCTGCTTCGTATTTAAATCAGAGCGAGCACAGCTAGAAGTGCGGCTACGTTGAAAAGAATGCCCAGACTGTTCCAACAGAATAGTTACACTATCAAAATACCGTTTAATAAAACGAACACGATTCTACAATGAAGATTTTGTTTTCACCATCTTCTATGTGAAACCATATTCCCGTTTCTCTTTATTCAACTCCGAAGAATATTTGATTTATACAGAATTAAAAGACAGTGTGATATTACTTCAAGATAAATTTAGTATCCCCTGAAGACCACGAAATATTATAAAATACTATGACACAACCATCACACACAGTATTACATAAATACCCACCATTTCCAAAGAAGTGTACCCAGTTCCTCCAACACTTTATCCCCGACACATACCGAAGCAACGAAAGGAAATACGCTCGCAAATAAACGAAAAGTAGTTCGAATACCTTAAATCATTCAGGAGATCAAGAGAGAAATTTCAGGCTACTGCTTCGATTACGTACACAACTCACAGAGATAGATCCCAGGTGTTCGAGCGTAGAAAGGAGCCAGGATCTCCTCCAATCCTGGAGGGTTCAGCAAACGGGGTTCCAGTCCCTGGTGGCTCTTCTAATGGTGATCACTGAAACTATCGTCGACGATTCGCTGATTTTGAACGATCCCGTGAACACTGCACCGCCAGCACGGGGGTGGACGGTTCCACATAGCCCAGTCGACGACGATGCGACGCGAGCGGGTGCAGTGGTTGCGACTACGCTAGCGTATGAGCGTAGACGAGCGTCGCGGCGCTGTGCGTGGAAGCGCCACCCGTGCCGCGCAATCGGATAGAAGCGAACTGCAGATTCGGGTCGATCAATATGCGGGGTCAGCAGTCGTTGCCTCGTGCTCGTGTTGCGGCAAGTGCGCCGAGCAGACGACAAGTAACGCTACGGCACACGCAGAGGGATGATGTGGGGGTCCCCACCACGATTGCGCGGTTAAGGCGCGAATATTTGTGGGGTGAAATCGCGTTGAAGATTTGAAGAAATCGAAAACAATATATTTTTGGTTCTTTGGGCCGTTGACCACGTACGAGATGTTTGGTTTTTGTAGTTATGTTGGAAATAAATTTGAAGCACCCATCTATAGAAATACTGTAACAATCCATAGTGATTTTTATTATATTATTTATTTTATGCACTTTCGAGATGAATATGCAGTATTTAGTTAAGAGGAAGGCTACAATAAGCTACTGGCACATAGTTATACACAACAATTCAGGGTAATCTGAGTACAACTATTGTTGAATGATGTGGTTTAATAAATGCGATTGAAAAAGAGTCTTATTTCAATAATTCTACACTCTCCATATTATTACAAATATACAGGGTCTCCCAAAACTCGGGGAGGAGCCGGAAATGGGGGGTAGCTGAGACGATTCTGAACAACAATTTCCTTTGCAAAAATGTCGGATGGGGCTTCGTTAAGGAGATATTAAGCGAAAACCCCGACCAATCAGAGCGCGCGTAGACCGTTCGAGTGGCCGCGGTAGCGAAGGCTACGCGCTAGGCGGCAGCGTTAATGTCCTTCGATGCACGTCGAGTCATTTGTTCGCGTGTAAGCGCGGCCACCAGCGCGTAGCCTACGCTACCGC